GCTCTTCCGCTGTCTGGCTCCGCGCAGTAACCTTCCGCATTCGTCCACTCTCTACGAAAAAGTGCAGGACGTAAGCTACCACTTTCCAGTATCTGGAAGATGGTCAGGAACTCTCAGAAGAGCTGTCAGGCGGCGAGGGCTCGCGCAGGGGCTGGTGGGCGCAGCTGGGAGTGAGCGAGCGACCGCAGAGCACGCGGAGCCTGTGGACGGCGGCCTCGTGCCTGCTGACTGCCCGACACGTCCCCACCCGGGGCGGTTCCCGGGGACGAGCTCGAGCTCCGTCACCCAGAGCTCCTTGTCTCTCTGGAATTCAGTGTCGCCCTGGCTCCTCCGAAGAGCTGCGCCTTTGCCTCTGGGTGGTTTGAAGGTAGTCCTCTTTGGCTTTGGTTTGCAGTGGTTTCACTGTCCTGGATTCAATGTTTTCTTTTGTTCTAGTTTGTATAGAACGTGTGTGCTTGCCAGAGAGAGATGGAGACAGAGCTAAAGTGAGAGATCATCCCCAGGGGGTTGGCCATGCCACAATCCTCCTCCACCCTCTCTTGGGGTTTTCTCTTTCGGGCACGCATGCACACGCACCCCAAGTGTTTTCCAGCTTTCAGGTTCGGGACTCCAAGCACATAGTCAGCCCTGTGGGGTCCATGGCCTTAACCACCTCGCCACCTGCTGGCCTGTGGGAGTTAATGGTTTTTGTTTGTGTTTTTCCTTTTTGGGGTACATGGAGTTTCTTGGATCTATTATTTTAGGTTATCAGTTTCAAAACCTCTTGGATAGTAGCGCAAATATTTCCTCACTCGTTTTCTCCTTTGAGAATTCATTTTCATTTATGTTCAGTGTTTTACAATTTCCTGTATATTATTCTTTATTAACTTTTGCTATATTTTAATTTTGTTTCTCTCCACCTTGTTTACCTGTGTTCTACGTACCCAATATAGAATGCTCCCACTTGCCATCTCATCTCACGGGAGCCTTGTCGCCTTAATTTTTCTATTTCTTTGTGTGTTTACCCCACGAGCAAGAGAGCCAGGCAGAGCCGCAGGGAGGGCGCCCCACAGGGCTCCACACTACAGGTAGCCCCAGCCCGCAGCGTGGGCACAAGTGGGCCTGGCGGGTCTTCCTTTTCCTTTCCCCTCAATGGTCACTGCCCGGCCTGGTTGTGGCCTCGTCACTCTATCAGGCTACAGAACCCTGTGGGAAAAGGCCTCTCTGAAACAGCTAGTGTTCACTCCCAGCGGCCGGCCAGAGCCCTCCAGGATCAAGCCTCCCCGAGGCTGCAGGTCAGGCTTTGTGGAGGCTGGCTGGCCTCCTGCCCCGCCACGCCTGGCCACAGTCCATTAGGAGTCCCGATGACACCCCAAGTTCTGGGCCCGCCCGCACCAGCAGGCGCTGGAATCACCTCCTGGCCTTTCGCCTCTCGGCCAGGGAGCTGTTTCTCGGCCCCTGCACTTGGGTCTCGGATCACTGTGGCTGTCTGCAGGGAACTGGGAGGTGGTTTGGGGGTGCCTCTCCCAGAGCGGGGCTCCTCACCACGGCCCTGAAGGCCCTTGTGCTCCATTCCTGCCCCACCGGGGCCTGTGATGAGCTCCCGGCAGCTGCTCCCAGCACCTGCGCCTGAGGCCGGAGGAGGTGGGCGCAGTGCTGTCCCCCCTCTCTGGGTGGGTCGCTCTCCGCAGCCCGCGGACTTCCCCGAGCCACGTGGACCCTGCGGGGAGCGTGGGAGAGCTTTCCAAAGCATGGGACCTGGGTGGACAACCTCGTCGTGTCTGTTTTTCAGTGCTCTGAATTTTGCAAACTCTGCCTGGGTTTAAGGGTCAGCGTTTAATGACACCGACGTCGTCGGTGTGGGACGGACAGCTCGTTCCCTGCTGCATTTAGGGACGCGGAGTCGGCCAGGCCGGGCACACGGCCGCAGCACTGCGCCCACATGGGGCCGCGTGCTACCTCGGGGAGGAGCCTGCACACGCGTGCAGGAGCGGCAGCGTTTCGGTCACGGAGATGAGTGCCGAGTGCCAGGCACCGGCTGAGTCTGACCTCAAGGCCAAATCCCGTCCGAGCGAGTCTCCTCTCAGGCAGATTTACACGCCCTGGAGTCCTGGCCCAGAGACAAGTGGGAAGGCTCCGGATTTGCATCCCGGGTCTGCCCCAACACATCAGCTGCACCACGGCGCACCGCCACCCGCACTGGCTCAGAGGGGAGGGCCCGTGACGACTCCATCGGGGTCCCTCCCCCTCTCTCCCTGGAAGTAAATTTTAAATAAAATGTTCTGAGATGTTTTAGAGAAGCAAGATAGGACGCAAAGTTAAGTTGAGACAAAGTTTCTGGGAGTGTCTGCTAGGCAGGAGGGCCAGGACAGCCCACACCCAGGCCACACCCCACACAGACAGGGGAGGGTGGGGTGTGGGTTACACGGTGCAAGCCGGTTCCAGAAATAACTGAAGCCCGAGATTGGTGGGGACAGGCTCGGCAGCGCGTGGACAGGGCCGGCAGATGCCGCAAAGGCTGGCCCAGGCAGGTGGGTCACATGGCCCGCAGGGGAGGGTCCGGGCTCTCAGCCCAAGGCCACTATGCGCGTTGAGCGTGTGGGCACATGTGCGTGCCCCGGGCTGGCTGGGCTGGGGTGGGTTGCAGCGAGGGCCCCCTCGGTGCCTGTCTGTGTCTCCCTCTCTCCTGGAAGAAATACATAAAGAACTTACTTTTTTAAGAGGTTTTCTCTATAGGGCGCATGCGCTTGCCAGACAGAGAGAGACAGAGAGACAGAAAGCGAGAAACTGCCCCCCCCCCGGGGGGGGGTGGCCACACCGCAATCCCTTCTCCTCCATTCTCCTCTTGGGATCTTGGGCACGCAAGCGCATGCACCCGGCGTGAGTTTAAGCCACTGAGTCCGGGACGTGAACCGCGGCCGACTACATGGGAGTCCAGCGACATAGCCATTACGCTAACTGCTGGTCCCAAGAACATTTTTAATATCCAGTTTCCAGAAGGTGAGTCTCAGCTTTGGTCTTTCTAAGGCTGGGTCTGTTCTGAGTCGCTTCACACCAGGCACCATCTGGGGTCAGTTTCCAGGACCCCCGACATGCGCTGGGTGTGACCCCAAGCCTCTGAGGCTCTCTGGTTCTCGGCCTGGGCAGCCTGGTATTGCCGAGCACTCCTCAGTGGCCGCTCAGACGTGCTTGGACCCTCTGGCAGACGTCCCGGCTCAGCGGAGGAGCAGGCTCCGACTCCGTCTGGCTGGCGCCCTCTGCTCCGAGGCGGTGTTCTCCGGGTCCTCTGGTCTCTGAGCCCCTCGCAGACAGCTGACTGGGAGTCCTGCCTACTCAGTCCATCGCATGTGACCCCTTGCGGGCGACTTTTATTCATGTCTTCCGTCTCTATTAGTGGGCCATACTTTGTTTCTTTTCATTTCTCATTTTGTGTTGAGATCCGGCATTTTGAAAACTACCATGTGATGATTCTGGAAGTCGAGCTCTCCCCTCTCTGGGGCTGCCCTTGTTCACTTAGTCACTTCTGGAAGCTGAAGTCTCCGTACCTTCCGCAGCTGTTGACAGAGATGTCCTCACACACCCAGAGCCGAAGGGGAGTAGAGAGGGAAGACAGTGCTCCCCGGGCTGGTCCGCCATGCTGGGGCCCCTCTGTGCCCACCAGCCGTGTGCAGCCTGGCCTGTGCCAGCTGCCAGGCTGGGCTGGGCCCCCAGCAGGGGTGGATGCTGGAGCCTCTCACAGGCCTGTCCTGAGCACGTGTCCACGCTGGCTGTGCTCACGCGGAGGCTTTAAAGCCTGATTCCAGATTCTCACTCCCCAGCAGTTGCCGGGCCTTTCCTGTCCTTTGCTCCAACTGCTAATTCCTGCCCGAGGCAGGCAGCTCATCCATCTGGCTTTCACTAGGGCTCCCTGCTCTGAGCAGCTCCAAGAGAGGCCAGCCAAGGCGGGCTCCTCGCAGCCTCGGGGGGACCCACCAGCGCATCAGAACAGATGCAGTTCCTAGGTTTGTGGGTCCCCCAACCAGGAGCCGAGGGAGCAAGAGGCGCAGAGTCGAGGTCACCATGGCCAGTGGGAATGTGCTCCCTGCACATCCTCAGCCTTCCTCTGGCACCGCCTTCAGAGCTCCCGAGCTGGTTCCTGGTTTGCGCCTAGAGCCTCAGGAGGGTCAGCCCAAAGTCCCTTCTCCACCATGCGGCCGACCTCCTGCACTGGGCTTTCATTCTGAGTTTGGATGAGTGCTCTGGTCATCTCACGACCACCAATGAGAAATGTCCTTCCCAGCCTAACACGCGTCCGCTGATAACCTCGTCACCCCGTCTTACCAAGCCTAATGTGTCCGCTGATAACCTCGTCCCCCCGTCTTACCAAGCCTAATGTGTCCGCTGATAACCTCGTCCCCCCGTCTTACCAAGCCTAATGTGTCCGCTGATAACCTCGTCCCCCCGTCTTACCAAGCCTAATGTGTCCGCTGATAACCTCGTCCCCCCGTCTTACCAAGCCTAATGTGTCCGCTGATAACCTCGTCCCCCCGTCTTACCAAGCCTAATGTGTCCGCTGATAACCTCGTCCCCCCGTCTTACCAAGCCTAATGTGTCCGCTGATAACCTCGTCCCCCCGTCTTACCAAGCCTAATGTGTCCGCTGATAACCTCGTCCCCCCGTCTTACCAAGCCTAATGTGTCCGCTGATAACCTCGTCCCCCCGTCTTACCAAGCCTAATGTGTCCGCTGATAACCTCGTCCCCCCGTCTTACCAAGCCTAATGTGTCCGCTGATAACCTCGTCCCCCCGTCTTACCAAGCCTAATGTGTCCGCTGATAACCTCGTCCCCCCGTCTTACCAAGTCTAATGTGTCCGCTGATAACCTCGTCACCCTGTCTTACCAAGCCTAATGTGTTCACTGATAACCTCGTCACCCCATCTTACCAAGTCTAATGTGTTCACTGATAACCTCGTCACCCCGTCTTACCAAGTCTAACGTGTCCGCTGATAACCTCGTCACCCCGTCTTACCAAGCCTAACGTGTTTGCTGATAACCTCGTCACCCCGTCTTACCAAGTCTAACGTGTTCACTGATAACCTCTTCATCCCGTCCACTCCATCATCTCAAAATTTTTTTTCCAGAGACATTTTTTTGCTATAGGGTGCACTCACCAGAGAGACAAAGAGAGGCCTAAAACAGAAAGTGAGAGACTACCATGGAGAGATGGCCATATCACAGTCCTTTCTCCTCCATTCTCCTCTCAGGACTTTGGGCACACATGTGCACACTCCTGGCATGAGTTTTAAGCAGCTTCTGGGTCCGGGACTAGAACTGCAGTCGACCATGTAGGAGTCCAGAGACATAATAATCACGCCATCTGCTGGTGTTTAGCCTCCGCAGAGCCTCTCCATTTCCCTCTGCCACAGTGCAGAGCAGCTGCCGTGGTCAGGAAGCCTGGGGGGCCTGCACAGGTCACAGGCTAGATTCGTGCTGTTATCTGGTTTGCAGGAGTGCCGTGCCTTTATTTCAAATGTCAAATTTTGCCTGCATTTGGGGCCAGCAGGTGGCCTGGTGGTTAACACCCTGGGCTCCCACTAACCCTACCACAGGTACCACGGTTCGAGTCTTGGACCTGGTGGCCTAAAAATCACTCTAGGCATGGGTACATATAAGCCCAAAATCCGGAGAAGAGGATGGTGGAGGAGGGATTGCAGCATAGCTGTCCCCCAGGAGTGATTCCTCAGCCTCCCTGTCTCTGTCTCTCTCTCTTGTGAGTATACATGCCCTATTGCAAAAAATCTAAAATAATAATAATTGTCTTCACTTGTTTTTCAAACTAGAAAATAATTATATAGTAGCTAACATGTGTTTGCATTTGCTAACCAATTGAGATTCACGCAAATACTGCTGTACCTCACACTGTCTCCTTGGAGTATCGGTGTTACGAAGCATGTTGCAATGTCCCATTTATGCGTAGAAAACCATTCCGTCTGAGCCCGCCCTCCGACGTCTGTCATGCTGGACGAACGCTGTGCCTGCCACACACAGCGTCTCACAGGACAGCACCGCATGGAGCTGGCTCTCCGAGCCTGGAGTTAGGTGTCACCCGCTCTGGGTTTTAAACTCAGGCCATTCCCATGAAGTGAACTGCAGATGCAGTGGCAGCCTCTGTGGCTCACAGCACAGACCAGCCCTGGTCCAGGGCCTTGGGTTAGGGTCAGGGCGAAGCCCTGCGGTTAGGAGTGGACACCGGCCTGCGCTTTGCCCCAGGAAGAGCATCCCTCCTGAGCCAGGTGGGATGGAGCTGCCGACGGTGTGGTGCCTGGTGAGACAGAGTGGCAGGTGCAGAGCCTCAGGCCCAGGCAGAGCTCTTGGGTGACCCCAGGACCACCAGGCCAGCCTTCCCCACGTCAGGGTACCAGTGAGAGTGACTGTCAGCTACAGCCACGCACAGTCCCAGGCATGGAGCCTCCCACTGCGGAAGGGGCGAGCGAGGCTGCTGCTGTTTCCTGTCTCAGGGAGGACAGTCATTGGGGACAGACAGGGGCAAGGACAGGGCATCCACACCAAGCTGGGTGAGAGGGAAGGGCAGGGTGTCCACACCGAGCTGGGTGAGGGGGGGGCAGGTGTCCACACCGGGCTGGGTGAGAGCGGGGGGCAGGCGTCCACACTGAGCTGGGTGGGAGGGGCAGGCGGCGTGGGGGGGGGGGGGGCGGGTGTCCACACCGAGCTGGGTGAGAGTGAGGGCAGGTGTCCGCACCGAGCTGGGGGTGGGGGCAGGCGTCCACACCAAGCTTGGTGAGGGGGGGCCAGGTGTCCACACCGAGCTGACTGAGAGGGGGCGACGTCTACACCGTGTGCAGCAGCTCCAGCACCCTGCAGATGAGCAGACAGCTGGCGGGGAGCAGAGCAGAGCCACGCAGACCCAGCTCCTCTGCGGCCCTCACCTGTGCAGGGCAGTGCGTGCTGAGGCAGGGCTGGGCTCGCCACTGTTGCTACTCTGTTCCACGTTCCTGCTTCGGGGGCCTGATCCAGGAACCTGTCTGAAGAGGGGAAGGGTGTGCAAAACCAGCCATAGAACAGGGCTGGCAGGCACACCCACGTGCAGCAGGGCCGTAGGACAACGAGGTTGCTCTGGGCAGGGGCCTGAGATGGACGGGTCAGGGTGTCCAGGAATGACCACCTGGTGTGTCATGTTCTGATCTGCAAGACGTTAAGAGGACCTCCAGTCTCAGCCAAACTAAGGAGGCTTTTATTTAGCCGGCAGCTTCAAGAGGACTCGTGTTGCTCCACAACCCTGCAGCCCCAAAGCAGGGGGGAGGAAGGTTTAAAAACACAAAAAGCACGAAGGAAAAAACTGCACATCTAAGAAAGTACGGGCCTTGAGTTATGCGAGAGTGGGTTACAAGACCCAAAAACGCGAGTTATCGGGAAGGACAGTTACAGTTGGCCGGACAGTGAGGGCTGGCTGCATCTGCTGGTGACAGATGCCCGTTGGCAGGACGGGGTGGGGCAGCTGGGCAACGCTCAGGAGGCGCTTACGGTCACGATGGAGGTGCTCGCGCCTCAGATGGTGTCCCCCACCCCCCGCAGAAAGCTGCGCTGCACCAGGAACTACATTCACCTGAACCTCTTCCTGTCCTTCATCCTGAGGGCCGTCGCGGTGCTGGTCAAGGACAGCATCCTGTACTCTGGCTCGGGCACGCTGCCCTGCCCCGACCAGCTGTCCTCGTGGGTAAGGCCGTCCTTGCGCAGGGTCCTCGGGTACAGGGGTGCCACGCCCTCTGCCTAGACTCACGGTCCTGGTCAGCCACAGAGGGGCCTGCAGAGAGGCTGGGCTGGCAGCCAGACAGGGTGGCACGGAAGCAGGAGAGGTGTCTGCTGTGTACGGGGAGGTGCGGCTGAGCCCTGATCCAGCAGACCTGGACCCGGACCCCGACCAGGCAGACCCAGAGGAACCAGGGCAGAGGAGCCAGCACAGCTGGGTAGATCCACCCAGACCTCCGGGGTCCCATGCAATGTGTGCTCCCACTCAAGCCCAGGGGCACCAGGATCTGCAGAGAGGTGCCCACGGGGCACAGTCTGGGGGCTGCAGGGCCAGGTCCCGGGTCATGGAGGACCCTCGCTCAGTCTCTGCAGGGCCAGGTCCTGGATCACGGAGGACCCTCGCTCAGTCCCTGCAGGGGTGGCTGAGGTGCTGATCTGCACCTGGGCACACTCCTCCTTGGTCCTGTTGGGGGTCATCAGGTCATTGGCACCTGGCTGAGTCGGTGTTTACCAAACTCCTGCGCTGTGGTCCTGCCCGCTCTCCCCGCCAGCTTCCCCCGTGCCTCCCTCTGGCCGGTGTGTGGGACTCTGATCGGCCCCTGGATGGAGGACGGAGGAGTGGGCGCCCTGCCCTGCAGGCCCTGCCGAGCCTGTGCCATGCCCAGCGTGGGCAGTGTCACAGAGAACTCTGCTTAGGATGGGAGCTCGGCCGGGGGTGGAACCGCTGGAGGGGCTGGGCGCCAGGGCCGGCCGGCCAGAGTGCACAGTGCATCCTCCGTGTGTGTGAGCACGCCTCTCCATGTGTATAACGTATGTGAGTACGCCTCTCCAAGTGTGTAAAGTATATGTAAGTACGTCTCTCCATGTGTGCGATGTGTGTCTCTCCATATGCACAAGAACATCCACTCCACATATGAAACGTATGTTGACTCTGTGTAACTATGTCACTCCATGTGTGCAACATCTGTGAAACTGTGTGTGAGTATATCCACTCCATGTGTGTAACGTGTGTAACTGTGAGTACCCACTCTATGTGTTTAACATGTTCGCTCTGTGTAACTATGTCTCTCCATGTGTGTAACAGCCATGAAGGTCTATTGAGTATATTCACTCCATGTATGTAACATATGTGTGCAACTATGTATAAGTATATCCACCCCATGTATGTAACATGTCTGTTCCATATATATAGTGTACCTACTCTGTGTGTGTACATGTATCCCACCATGTATGTAATGTATGCCTACTCTGTACGTGTGTGTATCTGTGTGTACGTGTACCCCTCCATGTGTGTAATGTATGCCTACTCTGTACGTGTGTATCTGTGTACGTGTACCCCTCCATGCGTGTAATGTATGCCTACTCTGTACATGTGTATCTGTGTGTACGTGTACCCCTCCATGCATGTAATGTATGCCTGCTCTGTACGTGTGTATCTGTATGTGTACCCCTCCATGTGTGTAATGTATGTCTACTCTGTACGTGTGTGTATCTGTGTGTACATGTACCCCTCCATGTGTGTAATGTGTATCTACTCCATACATGTGTGTATCTGTGTGTACGTGTACCCCTCCAAGTGTGTAATGTATGTCTACTCTGTATGTGTATCTGTGTGTACGTGTACCCCTCCATGTGTGTAATGTATGTCTACTCTGTACGTGTGTGTATGTGCACCCCTCCATGCATGAGGTAATTAAAGCACCAGTCCATGCCATGTGTACAAGGACCTGCACCCCGTGCACACGCATGCGTATGACGCGTGCCGTTGCTAGCTCACATATGCCTGTAGACCCGTGCTTGTAGAGGTGAGCGTGGAAGTGAGGGCTGCCCTGCTCGGCTCTGCGAGCTCGATGGCGAAGCAGCGACTCCGCATTTGCCCATGAGGTCCAGGTGCCGGGACTGTGTGGGTCCGAAAGGTTCAATACATCTATTTGATGTGTGCCACTTTTTTCCTAGTGAAAGCTTTCCAAATTCCCACGAAGATATTTGGCTTACCAGGTCTCTTTTTCTCCATTATGTTTTCATCTCTATTTCCTAAAATTAAAAACACTTTTAGGATCCAGGGACTTCCGAGATCGCAGACATGCAGGGGACGGCTCCTGCCCCAGGCTGGCCCACTGCACTCTCCTCCCCGCTCCCATCACCTGAGCTGCTGTGAAGGGAGTGCGTTCGGGCCGGCCTTCCCCTGAATGGCAGGCTCAGGGACGCGGCCCACGCTGCTTGCCCCGCAGGACGTCAGGACCCCCACCCCACTTCCCTCATGCAGGGCAGGGCCGAGGAGGACCGAGGTTGGCTGTGTGCAGGGAGCCTGGTGCCCCCTCAGGAGAGGGCTCTGACCTGGGAGGGCTGCTCACACTCGCCTTGCCCAGGCTCATCTCCCATGGGCTCAGAGTGTGTGGACAGTGCCCAGTGCCGCCAGGCAGGCCTATGCTCGCACACCGGGCCCCGGCAGACCATGGCGGCTGGCCCATGCCCCTCACTGCCGCCCTGCGTCGGCTTCCAGGTGGGCTGCAAGCTGAGCCTGGTACTCTTCCAGTACTGCGTCACCGCCAACTTCTGCTGGCTGCTCGTGGAGGGGCTGTACCTGCACACCCTGCTCGTGGCTGTCGTCTCTCCCGGCTGCTGCTTCAGGGTCTACCTCCTGATCGGATGGGGTGAGGACTCCCGGCTGCACCCAGCTCTCGCCCACCCTCCAGCGGCCCAGGCCCCAGCCCGCACCCACCCGGCCCACAGACAGCTGAGCTACACAGCCCAGCGCCGCCCTGGGCTCACTCCAGGTCCCCCCCGGGGAGCGTCCCCAGTGCTGGTGTTCCGCATGGCCCTGCGACCAGGAGCCTGGTCTAAAATGCCCCGGACTCCCATTCATGCCCCTGCACCCCATCCAGACGGAGCCGCTGACACGCGGGGAGCGTTTGCCACCCACTCTCCCAGCTGGCTCACGTCAACATGGGGGAAGTGGGAAGGAGGCAGGGCAGGGCTGTGGGGGTCCCCGAGCAGGAAAAGGGTGCGGAGCCGGGACACGTAGCTGGGCAACGTAGCTGGGCGGTGCTCCCCGAGCTGTTCACGTGGCGAGCCCGTCCCCTCTGCACACGTGTACACACACCTCCTGGGCTGCGGTGACACTTCTGCAGTGTCGTCCGGCCATGCCCAGAGTCCCCGCTCTGCACCTGCTGAGTCACCCCCACATTCAGTGAGCCTGGAGGGCACAGGGATGTGCCCCAAGGGGCTTTGGCAAGTGTTAGGGCGCGCCCCGCACACCCTGGCCAGCAGGCGGCATGGCATGTCTGTCTCCACAGGCGTCCCCACCATGAGCACCGGGGCATGGGCTACAACCAGGCTCCTGTTGGAAGACACGGGGTGAGTGCCTGGTCAGACCCAGCAGCACGCAGGCCACAGGAGCGAGGGCTGGGGGGACAGGGCCCTTGCTGCCCTGCAGAGGCCGCGGGAGGACTTGCGGGAACCCAGGGCCAGGCCGGGCAGTTTGGGAAGGTCTGCTGCAAGGCGGGAGGTGAGCTGGGCTCGTGGCCTCGCCAGGGAGGGCCAGCCGGGCAGCAAGGGGCGGCACCTCAGGTAGCCACGGCGTCCACAACACAGCCCAGCCCGAGCAAGCCCTGGGGGCCACAGTGGAGAGCGGGACGAAGGGTCGAGGGGCCAGGCCGGTCGGAGTGAGAGAACTGGTGTAGACGGCCGGCCGAGTGAGAGGGCGAGAGAGCCAGTGTAGACAGCCATCTGGAGTGGGAGGGCGAGAGAGTCAGGGTAGACGGCCGGTCGAGTGAGAGGGCGAGAGAGCCAGTGTAGACAGCCGGCATGGCCCAGGGCTGTCCTGCGTGTGCATGGGAACAGACATGGCCCGAACACAGTCCATGAGGACCAGCATGAAGCTGTGCCTCAGAAAGGGTCTCGGGGTGTCAGCCACCTGCCACCAGCACCGTTCCCCAGGAGTGACTGCAGCTGACAGCGTGGGCTTGTGCAGGGTCTGGCCCAGCTGGGCTGGCTCCGGAGGCACCTGCAGGGCAGGGACCAGCCAAGCTGAGGTGGCAGCATCCTCTCCTCGCCTGGTTCCCAGGACTGAGCGAGGAGCCTCAGGCCTGTCCCTGAGCTACCCAGGTGCTGAGGCAGACCAGCTTGGATCCGGGGCCTGAGGGTGCTGACTGTGCTGACGGGAGGCCCTGGGGTCACACTGCAGGGCTGTGGGCGTGGGGGTCCCTGAGCTTCCTGCTGGGACACTCAGCCCCAAACTTCGAAAGGAAAGCGCCATTCGCTTCCGGCCACGCCCAAGGTGTGTTCTAAACCCCCATTCCACAGGGAGACAAAGCATTTGGGAGGTGAGGACCCATTTGGGAGGTGAGGAGAAAGAATTCCTTTCTCGTGATGTCAGGGGGAGGGGCAGAGCCTGGGCTGCGCCCCCCAAGTGGAGAGCAGTTACAGGGCTACCAGGCCCCACCCCTTGGCCAGTTTAGGGGTGTACCTGGGCCCCGGTCCCCACTGGCAGGTGTCCTGCTGAGAGGAACATGGTCCTGGAGACCACTTCAGTCCCTGAAAGCAGAGCCATGGGGCTCTGAGCTATGCACAGCGGTAGGCCAGGAGGGTCCCGCCCTGGATCCCGGTGCCGGGGCATGGAGGGAGCAGGCTGGGTCCATGCCACAGCGTGAAGGGTTGCACCCACCTGCAAGTGCCCTCCCCAGGTCCAGCCGTCCCTGGCCTCCTCTCCCACAGCTGCTGGGACATGAATGAGCACAGCGTCCCCTGGTGGATCATCCGGGTTCCAATTCTCATCTCCATCATCGTAAGTACTTGGGGCCGTCACCCGGGTTACCCTGGCACGCACTGGGGCCCAAAGTGGGCTCGTGGCTAGCTCTAGTGGCCTGTCCCACGTGGCCTTCTAGACGAACTTCGCTGTCTATGGGGGCCCCCACATAGCCAGACCCTCCAGGGCACTGCTTCTGGGGACAGGGTGGAGGCCTCGAGGGAGTCTCGGTCAGCCGGCTTTCAGACCAGGTGGCTTCTGCTCGTCCACCTCACACCCATCGGTCACTGCTGGAGGCCTAATGTCGCACAGCTGTGCTGCAGAGAGAGACCGTCCCCCAAGGCCATGGCGGGCGAGCGCCGGTGGCCCTGTCCTGAGGGGGCGGCAGACCCCAGGCCCCTCGCACCACGCCTCATCTCTCGGGCAGGTCAACTTCATCCTGTTCGTCAGCATTGTAAGGATTCTACTCCAGAAGTTGACGTCCCCCGACGTCGGGGGCAATGACCAGCCACAGTACAGGTGAGTGCCTGTCACCTCACCTCCCTATGGCCCAGATGGGGTGTGCCACGGGGGCCACGGCCAGGGAGTTCCTCGAGCCTCAGATGGGCAGGTGGCTGGGTCCTGAGGTCACCGGTGCCCTCGCTGACACCAGGGCCCATCTGGCCAGGAGATCCGGGCAGCCAAGCTGCAGGGCAGAGCCGCACCTCCTCCGGCGTCTCTGTGACGTCCTCTCTGGGGACTTGCCGACCGGAGTCTCACTTCTCCCCGTGACCCCCGCAGCCACGCTGCTCTCATCCCGTGCTGTCTCCATCAGTCCGCGTGGCCCGTGGCTGCAAAGGTGGTGCAGATCCCGGCCTGGGATTGCCCAGAGCGCATGGCTGACTCGAGGGAGGGGCCACTGGCCCCTGCAGTCAGCAAGGGCAGGGGACTCCGACTGGGGGGGTCCTGAAGATCTGGAAATCTGCAGAGAATCCAAACACCCCTAAACGTGGACCGGGGATTTATAATGCAGGCGAAACCAGCAGCAGGTGAGCGCGTTTAAAGTGGCTGACAGAGCCAGAGGCACAGGCCTGAGCCTGGGGCCAGCTGCCACCTGGGGACACCAGCCAGTGTTCTCCTCTTCCCTCTAGAAAGTGCCGGGCAGCTGGGCATGGTTCAGGTGCAGGCTGACCCAGTCGGTCATCAGGGCTCGGACCCTCCTGCCGAGCTCAGTGCCCTCCCAGCGAGGTGACAGCACCTGTGGCTTGGGTCACTGGGTTGTTACTGAGACACAGTGCTGGCCCTCGGTGCTGTGTCAAGAAAGTCTAGAAAACACATCCCCTGGTTGTGCCACGTGACGTCAGACCCCTCCACAGCCACTAAGACGGGCGTCCACGTCAGACCACGGCTCCGGGCCTCCTGCACGCTACAGGAGGTGCCTCCAGCCCGCCTGGTTCCCTGTACTTGCATTTGCGATGGCAGCCTTTCCTGGGGTCTCGGGGTGCGGGTGACTGACGTGGGCCTCAGAGAGGCACTTCTATCTCAGAGTGGGCAGGGTGTACTGCATGCCAGCCCCTGCTGTCTGTCCTGTGGATCTCTGGTGACCAAGGGACCTCGGTCTAGAGGAGGCCGCAGGACCATACGTGTGGGGCGTGTCAGGAATGGGCCGTGGGCAGACTCTTGCAGAGTTGGTCGCCATGGGTCTCTGTCGAGTGCAGGGACGCGGCCTGTTGGTGTCAAAGACGCACCTGTGAGGGCAGCAGGCCAAGGCCACCCTCTTGCTCCGTGGAGAGGCCCTGGCGCCACGCAGACGGCAGGGTTCGGGGCTGGACAGACTGCCCGTTTCAAGGGAAGTCCTGCTCCCTGGAGCTCCGTGGCACATAGGAGCCGTGAGCTGGAGACATGAGCACACGCCTAGCGCTGGCATGCCCCGGGCTGGGTCTGAGTGCGAAGCTGGCGCCTCCCCCAAGTGGTGGGTGAGGTGCAGAGGGGGGCACCAGGGAGCACCCCTCCATGTGCGTGCGTGGGGGGTGCTCGTGGTTCTCAGTGGTCTGTGGGCCGGAGCTGCCACCGCCTCCCTGGAGCAGCTCCCTGCCCATCCGCCACCCCTGGGAACCCCTGGGGAGATGCAGGATGGGGCCTGGGTCCCACAGTGACCCCGTGGCTGGGGAGGAGCTGGGCTCGGGGTTCTGAGTGTTCCCGATGGTGTGACCAGCTTACAGAGGTGGTTCCCAGCGTGGGGTTCTAGCTGGGACCCAGAGGAACGCAGGTCCTCAGGCCTGAGCCGGACGCTGCAAGGACAAAGCAGAACCTGTCTCCGCCCCCTGGTGGTGCTGCAGCGGAAGTTTGGGAGGCTCCCCCTTAGACGTGGGGCGCTGACAGGAATGCGGGCACGGGGGTACACAAGGACGCTTGGTGCCTAGAATGGGTGGTGGCCCGTGGACAGGGAGGCCACATCCAGCCACTCTCTTGATTCGTGATGCAGATCAGCCACGGCGGTCACCTGCCCAGTCCGGGGGTCCTCCTGCCCCCTTTGTGGCAAGCCTGGCCTTCAACCAAACTATCGTGTCCTCTGTCCCCACAAGCTGGTGGCTGTCTGCTGTCAGAACCAGCGATAGCGATGGACACCTGAGCTCCCCGGACGCCTGGCGAGAGCGTCCCACTTAGCGCTCCAAGGCCACTGTCCTCACGATGCAGTCTGCTGTGCTCCCAAGAGCGGGGCCAGCCCTGGGTGCAAGTCTCAGCACAGCGGGGCCTTGAGCCACCTGGGCACTGGAGGGGCCGCAGGGTGGGCTGAGCGCGGGGGCAGCGGGGTCACAGGCAGCTGAGCCCATCCCCCCATGCAGGAGGCTGGCCAAGTCCACACTGCTGCTCATCCCCCTGTTCGGCGTCCACTACGTGGTGTTTGCTGTGTTCCCCACGCACACCTCCTCCGAGTACCAGCTGCTGTTCGAGCTGTGTGCCGGCTCCTTCCAGGTACGTGTGGGCAGCGGCGGGGTCCCCGCTGGCCGGCCCTCACGCCCGCCTGGTCCTCTCTCCGCAGGGCCTGGTGGTCGTGGTCCTCTACTGCTTCCTCAACAGCGAGGTGAGTCTGTGGCCAGTTTGGACCAGGGCAGGCCGCGAGGACAGGCCCCATTCCAGGCACCTCCCAGGGGCCCGCATCTGGCCTGCAGGCCCGCTGGGCCGGGGTCTGCTCCTCTGCCTGGACCTGGCAAGGCTGAGGGAAAGGCTGGCCTGGACGTCCACGGGAATCCCCTCCACAGCCAGTGACTAAGTCCTTCCCGAGCCACTCCCCGAGCCGGCCAACAGCAGCTGGGCACCGGGTCCACCCCAGTCACCACTTCCCACCCTCACCTCCCCTCCCAGCCCACAAGTGGGAAGGAGGCAGCAGAGACCGAGCAGGTGTCAGGACGGCACAGTGCCCACACTCACGCAGGGTGCCTGGGAGCAGGCAGGCCGTCCCCTCCCGCCTCCACCTCCCCTTTCCAGCTACCCCACACTCCCTGATGCCCTGCTGGCCCCAAGAAAATATTCCGAAACAGTTCTCTGGCGTGTGGGCATGAACCCATCCTGCGGCCTTGACAGCCCCTGACTCCTGGCTCCCCCACCCCATGCCGCTCTGGCCCTACCACCCTCTGCCCCAAGCTGGCTTTGTTTCCCTCACCTGACCAGGAATCACAGACCCTCCCCAGCACATGGGGTGCGGGGCTTCCCTGGGCCCGTGAGCCTCGCCCGGCCCCAGCTGAGCCCTCGCCCACAGGTGCAGAGTGAGCTGAAGAGGAAGTGGCATGGCCGGTGCCCAGCACAGCCCGCCGGCCGGGGACATGGGCTACAGGGCTCCTCCCTGTCTCGGCACGGCTCCGACAGTGCCCTGCAGTGTTCCCGGGGTTCCCGTGCCCCGTCCTTCTTGCAGACAGAGACCTCGGTCATCTAGGCCGGCAGCCAGCACCGTCTGACCACGTCAAGCTGGCGTGGACTTCAGCCCACATGTGGAACTGGGGTCAGGCCACGACTGGCTGATTTAAACGTAAATATCGCCAAACTCCAGCTTTTAGATCATTTGTTCGTGATGCTGTTTGACCATGCAGACAGGTTTGTTTCCAAAGAGAAAGGGGTCAGGTGTGGAGTTACCCAGATGCGGTGGCTGGAACCGTGGCCAGCAGCGACTGAAGGAAACCGAGGGCGTCCTGCTCCCAGGCCAGCTCTTGCAGACTCGTGGTCCTGCCAGCACGGGGGATGAAGACCAGAACCGGAGCTGGCATCTGGACCTCAGGGCCGCCTCCCCGCCAGGTCCTCAGGGTGGCTTCTGGTCTGCAGGACACTGGCACCAGCTGCACCAGGACTGGCAAAGCTATTCCTTTGCCACAACAGGGCAGACCACAGAAGGGCAGCCATGCCCAGGGCCCCTATGCCCTGTCTCCTCACTGCCTCTGCACCAAGCAGCCCAGCAGCCACAGTCCAAGAAAGGCAGGTGAAGAGCATCGGGCAATACCAACAGGAGAGAGAAGGGGGGGGCATTGGCCCCTCTGGGGCTGCGGGAGGACCCCAGCAGCCTGGGCCTGCCCACGGTCATCTGCCACTGCATGTGACGTCCAGCCGGGGCTCGGGGTCAGTGTCTGGCGGGACCGGGAAGCCTATTCTCTTTTTAACAAAAACTGCTTTAGAATCATTTCTGTTCAGATGAAGTTACTTCACAGCACACGAGGTGGCCAGCTCACCCCAACATGGTGCACAGAATTCCAGTGCCCCACACGCCAGTGTGCAGGGGCAACTGCACACCACCACCCCAGTGCACAGCGGCCCAGTGCACACCCACATCCAGGGCATAGCAGATGATGCACACCCACACCCCAGTGTGCAGCAGACAGTGCACACACACAGACACCCCAGGGCATAGCAGGCAGTACACACCCACACTCCAGTGTGCAGCAGACGGTGCACACACACACACACACACCTCAGGGCATAGCAACAGTACACACCCACATGCCAGTGCACAGCGGATGGTGCACACACACACACACACCCCAGGGCATAGCAGGCAGTACACACCCACACTCCAGTGTGCAGCGGACGGTACACACACACACACACACACACACCAGGGCATAGCAGACAGTACACACCACACGCCAGTGCACAGCGGATGATGCACACACACACCCCCCAGGGCATAGCAGACAATACACACCCACATGGCAGTGCACAGCGGATGGTGCACACCCATACCCCAGTGCACAGTGACCTAGTTCACACCCACAATCCAGTGCACACACATACACCCCAGTACACAGTGCTCAGTGCACACCCACAACCCAGTGCACAGAGGATGGAACACACCCACAGCCCAGTGCACACCGCAAACCAGTGCACAATGGATGGTGCACACCCACATCTCAGAGCACAATAGCCTGTGCACACCCACAGCCCAGTACACAGCAAACAGTGCACACCCACACCCCAGTGTGCAGCAGACGGTGCACACCCAAACGCCAGTGCACAGTGGATGGTGCACAACCACACCCCGGAGTGCAGCAGACAGTGCACGCCCACACCCCAGTGCACAGCAGACGGTACACACACATACCCCAGTGGACCATGCACACCCACACATCAGTGTACAGCAGCCTGGTGCCACCTACACCCCAGTGCACAGCGGACGGTGCACACTCACACCTCACTGCACAGCGGCCCGGTGAACACCCACACCCCAGTGCGCAGCAGCCCAGTGCCACCCACACCAGTGCGTCCCCATCATGGGCATGGGCACAGCCCAGCGGGCACATGTCCTATGGCTGTTTGTAGAGGTGGAGAGGGCTGAGGCTGGCTGGGACGGACACAGGAGGCGTGGGCAGGGGGGAGGACACCTGGGCACAGCTGCCACTCCCTGCCATGCCCCACAGACCTCAGAGGACTGCCCAAGCCTGGCCTGGGTGCCTCGGCCACCATGGTAGGTTACCCTGAGCACACCATGCCCCGTTCCCCCTAAGGACAGAGGCAGTAAAGTCTCCCTGTCAGAACCGTAGGCCTTGGCCGGCACCTGGATGCTGAAGACCGAGCGGCTGTGCCCAGGCGGTGGGTCGCCCAGCCCCTGGTGGCTGGGGGAGAAA